GTTTTAAATTGATATTATAAATAGCATCTTTGCACAAAAATCCTCGGCCTACTAATAACACCATTAAAACGAAGATGTGAATGTGTCATGGGCGACAGGGTGTTACAAATAGCTAAAGAAATTGCATATTGACAATTTCAGGATCGCGATGAAGAAAGTTTCGGAGAAGTTCCTGGACCGACCGCTCTCCGCAGCCGATACGGCGGTTTACTGGGTCGAGTACATCATCAGACACGGCCCGAACGCGCTCAGGTCACCCGCGAAAGATTTAGCGTGGTGGCAATTGCAAATGCTCGACGTCTACGCGTTTCTTCTAGTCATCGTGATCGCTGCGCTATATCTTTTCGCGACCCTCGTGCAATTTATGTTCCATCTAACCAGTTCGAGTTCCAAAACACCGCAGAAAAAGAAGATTAATTAAGCGCGAATAGACTATCCTTTTTATTCGGATTTGTTAGTTTCCACTAGTGTACTTTAAATACGTTTTTGATAATCGGCTAATTTGACAGTCAATTGGAGAACCTCTTCATGAAATTGTAATTAGAATATTGATTTTTGTTATATTGTGAAACACTTTTATTGTACGTGTATTTGGCAACGAAATAGCAATGTTACTCCGTTCCCGACTTCAAAACTTAGCAAAACATCCTGCATTCTTCGAATCGTAATTTATTTAAAAAAATAGTTCCCTCCGCGTTCAAATGCTGGGATTCCATCGTTTGGCTTTGACATACGTCACGTCAAACGAAGGATATTTTATTGTTTGCATTTCAGTATTTCAATCCCGCGGAAAAGCGAGCATGAAAAATCAACGTGAATGTAATAAGAACTTCAAAAGAATTCATCTCCCATCGAAGTTTTCAACACTTACAATTACGTTCATCACTTAGAACGCGGATGATTTACGCACGAACGTTATCAAGTAGACTTTATTAAAAGCTTTCTTTATTTTTCCCTACCAAAATTGAAAATTTTTCAACTTAATGTACAGAGGTGCTTTGATAAAAGAGTGAAAGTGGTGTCAACATTAAAGACTATGTGTATGTTTTTAAATAAACTTATCAAGAAAATTAAAATCGTGAAATTAATACTAGTTTAATAAATATTTAAAAAATATCGAAATCGCGTCAGGAAACATTCGTAACTTTGAAGGTTTATCATCTAATATCATCTTATCGTGCCACTATCGGAGTCTACCCCGTTCGTACACTCTTTCTTTCATCAAGGATAATGGTACATCAAGTGAAGACTAGATGTTTCGTTATTTACTGATTTGTTTTTCGTAATTCATAAAATTGATCTTATAAAGATAAATAAAACACTTATAGTGACATACAAAAATCTTCAATAAGGTACAAAGTATTTCACAATAAGTTGGAAACGTTTGAAAATTGAATAATTTTCTTAATAACACTTAACGACTTAATTTTTCTTTAGATGTCAGAAAGATTAGTTTATTACACAGTAGTTAACTACATATACGTATATAATTTACAATATAGTAAACTGATCTTTAACAACTAAAAAGAAATTATTTCGTTAAGTGGCATATTGATAAAGTTATTCAATTTGGAAATGTGTTCGAATATTTATGGATAATACTGTATCTATAAATCGAAGAATGATATAATACAGATTTAAATATTCTGACTAATAACATTTATATTTTTTTAAACCAGTGATTCTTACATTGTTCAGAATCACGGAACATTTACAATTTTACAAATTTTTTGCGGAGCGCAGTAGTGAAATAAAAAAAAAAAAGTGTTCCGCGGAACACATGTTAAAAACCACTGCTCTGAATAAACACTACTGTTCACGAATTTAATCTTCAGTGGTCAACACTTGACTGTTGTTCCTTTATCTCACTGAACACGACGTGATAATTCAAGCGCTATACTTGCAGTTGCACAACGGACAGTTATGTGTTGCTAGCTGTGACTTGAAGATCATCAGTAGCAACAAGTGTTTAAACTTCGTTTTTAATCTATTTTCTTAATAAACTTCAGTAAATATTTAATCAATCTTCAAAGACTCTAGTAAATGATCCGATTTCTGTTCTTGTAACAATTTATACTCACTGGCTCATCCTTTTATACGCAATCTTAAATGCAGAGTATAGAAAAACTGCGTTTGATGAGTAAAGATTAATATTAAGTGTTGGAGTAAGTACACATTATTGCTCCTGAAGGATACAAGAAATCTTAATTTACGGTTCATTATTTAGATCACAGAAGTTTCATTTCGCATAAAAAGTCACAGTCTAGTTATCAACATTGATGACCTACAAGAAGTAGTTGCAATTCTATTTGTAAGAACAGTAATAGTGACCAAGGGATCTTTTCCACGGAGACAATGTATTAAACTCATTTCCTGTGACTCGTGAATAATTTATTACGATTGAAACCGTGAATTTAGTGCATTTAAAGTGGCGACGTTTTACCAAGCAATTGCAAATTAGTAATAATTTAATAGATTTCTCAACTGAATTAAAAGAGGATTAAAGATGAAGTTGGTGTCCATACTATTTGTTTGCGCGGTATTCGCGACGAGTGACGGATACCGTATCCTAGGCATGTTTCCATACAACGGGAAAAGTCATTTTATAATGTTCGAGCATCTGATGAAGGCCCTTGCGAGGAAGGGCCACCAGGTCGACGTGATCAGCACGTTCCCGTTGAAGAAACCGTATCCGAATTACAACGACCTGATTGTGTTACCCACTGCGAGGGATTTCATGAACAATATGACTTACGACGAGATGCACAACATGATCAGAGCGTCGTCGGCCTTCGCTGTGGCTACCATGACAGGAAACGACATTTGCGAAAACTTGAAATATCCAAAGTTTCAAGAATTGATACGCAACCCGCCGAAAGACCCACCTTATGACGTCGTCATTATGGAGGTACGCTGTTACGATTTTGTTTTTGTATACTATATGGTTGTATCATTTAACATCATTAGCATTGTATATAATTAATGATAAACAAATTTATTATACATTGAATTGCGAATAACTCGATAGAACAAATTTGTCTATTCACGTTTGTTTGTTACATGTAACGTGACGATGTTCGTAACGGGTATCGAAGTTAATATCACTGTTTCTCCCTATTTCGTAATTAATAACATCATTCTGTCGTTACATAAGTCACAGTCCTTTATTAATAGCAGCTTCTAAGCAGCGTGTTTGTTTAAATTATCGAAAATTCTCAAAAATGCATTAGCGTACTGTGAAAATTACATCTGATGACATTGCTTGTTTAGACTTGATTAATTTTTAAAAGTTAGGCGAATTTAAGCGATCGGAATCGGCTCCAACCGCAAATCCTGTTATTGCGTTATCAAATGTCGATATCAAAATGACCCGTTGACCCACCGCCCCTTTCTTCGTTCAACTTCGTTTCCAAAGGCAATATACTCCGTCCACACCCTCTTTAGCCATTTCATTAGCCGCCAGTATAATACTCGAGACGTTAAATTTACGTGGCTACAGTTTATTATCCTCGACACCCTCGCGGCGTTTGTTGCCCCGTCATACAAGAATATTCGCCGAACAAACCAATTTTTATCACCGGAATGAATTTCTATTTAGAAACTTTGTTAGTTTCCCAAATCCATTGGCAATTACAATTATCTTATAATAAATGTCCCAATTTTTGCTCATTAGCTATTGTTGTATGTCATTTTACACGAAATTTTAAAAAATTCTGAGCGGATCAGAACTTGAGACATTTACTTATATTCTTATAATACGAGACTGATTACGATAAATAGAAAGATCATCATTACGTTTAATACGACTGGGTTGAAAAATAAATTGAGATAACTGATAACCCTATGCCTGACATGCATATTATATAACTATGATTTCAAATTCAAGGACGAATTATCATCACGTTTCAAAGCATCACGTTGACATCAAATGAGAATGAAGTGCTGGATCTGAATGAGAGTGCTGGATTTTTATATCCTAAACAATTCCATAAATTGATGATCGTTTCAGGTGTTCGGTGCCCACTGTTACGCCATACTAGGTGACATCCTGAAGGTACCATTAATAGGAGCCAGCTCGTCCAAGCTGTACCCCTGGCACCACGATTACATCGGGAATCCTCCAAATTACGCGTACCAGCCGAATAATTTGATTTCTTATCCAAACAACATGAACTTCTGGCAGAGGACTTACAACTTCCTAAGTGCGGTTCAAAGCCAGTATCAGTTCAACAGCGCTTCGAGCCTGCAGACGGACATGCTCAGGAAGTACGTCAGTCCGGACGCGCCGGACATCAGGGAACTCGAAAAGAAATTCTCAATGATCTTGGTCAACTCGCATATATCGATGAACGGAATCAGAGATATGACGCCGGCGTACATCGAAGTCGGCGGGTTGCACGTCCAAGAGGAAGGAGTGGAGATCTCGCCCGTAATTGTCATTCCATTTTGAAATGTGTACACTTAATATCATCCACGATTGTACATGCATATCATTGTTTAAATTGATGACGATCTTCTTCAGAGTTTGGAGAAATGGATGAACGAGAGCACGCAGGGATTTGTATACTTCACGTTCGGCTCGATGGTGAAGATCGAGTCGATGCCACGCCATTATCTAGAAATCTTCTATAAATCTCTAGCAAACATAGCACCGATTCGAGTGTTACTGAAAATCGCAAAGCCGGACGAGCTGCCACCCGGCTTGTCGAGTAACGTTCACGTCCTCACGTGGCTCCCGCAGGTTAAAGTCCTCAGTAAGTAATTAAATAACGTAAAAAAATAACAAACGATCATAGTCAAGTGCGAACATTGAATAAGAATTATTTTTCCATAAATCATTTGAAGTGGTTCGTTTTTCAAGAATTTGTATCTCGGGAATATTTGAAGGAAACTGTGGTATAGCAACATAGATCCATGAGGTATGGTGTTGAATGACAAGATATTTGTTGTCGCAGAACACCCGAACCTAAAGGCATTCATCACCCACGGAGGTCTTATGGGCACCCAAGAAGCGATCCACTATGGCGTCCCCCTGCTCGGTATACCGTTGTTTGCTGATCAATTTACCAACATCGAGACCTACGTGCGTCTTAACATCGCGATACAATTAGATCTGGACACCCTGACCGTCGAGAAAATGGATGAGGCTTTGAATGCCATCGTGCATGACCCAAAATACCGGTAAATTGCCATTCCTTTAAACTTTGCGCCAGATAGACCTATTATTATAATTATAGATCATAGATCTATAAAATGACTGTATCTATCCAATTAAAATGTTTCCCACCAGTAGTCGAACTCCCTGTACAGAAAATAAATTTCTATTTCTATCTGATAAGTAGACTGCGGATTTTAAGCATTCATGAGGACATTGAGTGTGAAAAAATATGAAAACTGCATGTTATCTATGCAAATATACAGAATATCAAATGCAAAAAACATGTTAAACGTTTAAAGAAATTTCTTTAAACGTTTAACATGTTTTAAATTGATATTATAAATAGCATCTTTGCACAAAAATCCTCAGCCTACTAATAACACCATTAAAACGAAGATGTGAATGTGTCATGGGCGACAGGGTGTTACAAATAGCTAAAGAAATTGCATATTGACAATTTCAGGATCGCGATGAAGAAAGTTTCGGAGAAGTTCCTGGACCGACCGCTCTCCGCAGCCGATACGGCGGTTTACTGGGTCGAGTACATCATCAGACACGGCCCGAACGCGCTCAGGTCACCCGCGAAAGATTTAGCGTGGTGGCAATTGCAAATGCTCGACGTCTACGCGTTTCTTCTAGTCATCGTGATCGCTGCGCTGTATCTTTTCGCGACCCTCGTGCAATTTATGTTCCATCTAACCAGTTCGAGTTCCAAAACATCGCAGAAAAAGAAGATTAATTAAGCGCGAATAGACTATCTGACTTTTTATTTTTTTACTGCGAATTGAACCAGTGCTTGTTTGATATCTTTTGAATTTTTTTCCCTTCAAAAAATTTTGTAGTGACAAGGACAAGTGATAGTCGGACGGTGCTAAGTCCGGGGAATATGGTGAATGCGAGAGAACTTCCCAGTCTAGTTCTGCAACTTTTTGACGAGTCCCCAAAGCAAAATGTGGCCTGGCATTATCATGATGCAGTATGATATTCTTCCTATTGAACATCGCCGGTCTCTTTTCTTGGAAAAGCTGTCTTTAAATTTTCCAGTTGCTGACAACACTTCTTCGACTTCAGCTTTTTATTGGAGTTTAAAAGCTCATAATGTAGTGCTTACGTGTCGAAACTTGTGAAAGAAACGGACAGAACTTTCCGGTAGACCTGATATTAATAATTTAGCTTATTAGATTTTGATCTTGTATCATAAATCACGATCACCAGGTTCACTAATGTACACTTCTGTAACAAACCGTTCAATTGCTATCGGCAGTTTAATCAAATCGACTCTAAATTGCGGCTTAGGACAAGCCTGTGCGTCTAGAACAATTACTGGCCTAATCGAGTGAATAGTTTCGCTTGTGAGAGGTTACAAAACGCATTTAGCAAACGAAACAACCAGGAAACCGCCCGTAGGACATCCGTGAGCTAGTTATCACGATAAATTTCCGCGTGCCAAGCCACAAATCCCGTTACAATTGACGTTCTCTCTGTGCCCTCTGCCCCGGACTAATTTTCCCTCCAAACAATTAATAGGCAAATGGATTAAGTCATTGCAATTCATTTATTATTCTATTCAAACAGATTTATTTTCAAAAATCGAAATACTTATATTC